CATAGTCGCCTATAACGGCAAGCATGGGTTGCTGTAAATCTATTCTTAACCGGATCTTCAAAGGTCAAGTGGGATTCAACTGATATGTTAAGATGAAATAAAACTGAATTATATGTGCTGTTTACATATCAAAGCTTGCCAAATTGTTACAAAATGTTTGGCCCGAGCAAGGCTACGTATTCACAACTTATTGTGGTAGGCACAGTATAACTCATGATTCTGGACTGAGGGAGGGCCGTTTTCCTCCTTGTGGGTCACCTGCTTGGCAATATGGGACGGGAAAACTGCAGGTGGTGAGGGCAGTTAAGTTGATGGTACAGACAGATAACAGAGATCATTTTACAAATGTGAAACCTCATTCCACAAAGGAAGAGGCGAAAGCTGAAACTTGGTAAGATTTACAGAACAAAGGCAGTTATTTCTAGTTTCTTACTGACTCTTGAGGATACATTTAATAAAAGTTCCTGTGTGCGACACGGCCACCAGTCACTAAATTTGGGTCACAATCTTTCTGTCTTCTTTCATTTGTCATCTGAAATACAATCCCTTCGTGCACTTTTGCTTCCTGCTCAAGTTACCAAACACACCCTGTTTACGTACACCTGCAAGATATATATTACGCCGAGGAGAATTTACGCAATGTCATATTTCTTATCGCCAGGGATCACAGGTGTGATACCAGTCTCCCTCAAGGAGACGTCTGATTAAACTCTTTGCTTCGTCAATGCTTCGTCTAGCCCAAACCGGTAACTGGTACCACTAGCAACGATACAATGGCGTACAAAGACTTACAATGAGTCAAGCATCCGTCACTCGATTTCCATTTTGATTGATTGTTTGATTGTTTGATTGTTTGATTGATAGATTGATAGATTGATACATTGTGAGTGAGTGAGTGAGTGCCTGTTTCACTGGTATGTCCGGATCTGGGTACGGGTCACCGGCTTAGCGTCACCGATCTAGATATATCTATGCAGGAATAGGTCATCCATGCGGATAGCGTAATCTCGATTAATGTATTCAGGAACCTTTCGTGAACAACATTTATTGAAAATGCTGCCGAAGAATCAAACAACTTTAAGATTTGGCTTCTGTGGTGGAATCATTCATATATTTAACATAACCGTTAACGTACTTCTTGAATGTTGTCACGCCATTCATTCAGACAGATCTCGAAGATATGTTAATATCTATGCGAGGACAGCGGATTAGATATCGCGAGGCCGGTTCACAATCCGTAAAAGCATGTGATATACCATGAATAGCCCATTGCATCTCCTGTACAAAGACTTTCTTTTGTACGTGTTGTCACAGAGCCACAAACTTAGGTCAATGGATCAGATAAAAGCAGGACTGCTGGAATCGGTTGAGGTGAACTTCCGATGACATAAACTCCTACTTGACAACCGCTTTAAGAAAGTGCCGCCATTCATGTACACACCCCTGTGGATGAATGAACGACCTAGCGAGGCCAGTAGCGCCACCTAGTGAGATATAATGGAAGAAGACCAACCGAGAGTTGAATCTTGACATACTCCGGTGCCATCTGCAGAACCTTGGTTAGCAATGGCACAGTGATTTATGAGAGTTTATGTGAGTCGGATTTGACGCCGCCTTAGCAATATTACAGCAATATCACGGCGGGGCATTCCCACATTGTGCCTATGATATGCAGAGAATCGAACCTGGACTTTCGGCACGAGGAGCGAACGCTTTTACTACTAGGCAACGCCAGCGGCCTTGATCATATGATCATATCATCACCATCATCATCATCATCATCACCATCATCATCACCATCATCATCGCCGTCACCATCATTATCACCACCACCATCATCAGCATCAGCATCGCCACCGGTATCGTTATCACAGGTATATACGGTACTCCACACAGAGATTAACGAAGGGCATCTATTTGATCAGGGGTTAGTTAAATATCAATAAAAGCTGTGGGTCAGTATATCCAGTTTCTGTCAGTACAGAAAAAAACCAAGTCGGTCAGCTGTGAACACGGTTCTTCAGCATCGGACATCAGCTGTCCTTGACACGCACATTTCAGCGCATTTGAAGCTACTGAGAATGCCCCCTGCAGAGTTCGACGAACATTCTGTGGTAGCGCTCGCGGCGGTGTTGACCAGAGGCTATCAGCAGTATTTCCTGTCCAGGTTATTTAGGTCCGTTGTGTGTGGGTGCGTGCGTGCGCGCGTATGTGTGTGTGTGTGTGTGTGTGGGGGGGGGGGGGGGGGGGGGGATGTGAGAACGGGGGGATAGATGATGGATTTAACAACAAGTAAGGTCATCTTGAGCGGGACGGTTTTCGTAGGATATAGATGGATTAGCATATGAAGTATGATTCTCTTTAGGTAGAAAAAGATCCACGATGTTCGACCTGGCAGAAGTGTGTAATCAAACTGCATAGCATTGGTCCTTGATTGACTGTGGCGTCAAAACAAACTCATTCATGTACTTGATCTGAATGTTCATCTTAATTGTTATGGATAGTCACGGAGCCGTGATCCAGAGAACAGGGTGTCATTAGATAAAAATGAAGTAATAATAGGATTACCAGAAAAACGGGGTATAACACCCAAGCCAATAACCTCCCCTCAGGAACACCAGAGTAAGTCAGTACAAGATTGAAAACTGCCCCATAAGTATATATGACAGGCTAGTCGGGTATTGTTACTTGTATATGTGAAAACACAAGTTATTAAAATTAATAGCAAAACTGATGAAAGTCACCAATAAACGTGTATAAGTGTTATATCGTCACTGTGTGTTGTCTTTAGTATTAACATTCAAATACGTGATATTTGTATTAGCGATATTGTCTACGTTCCACCGGTGAGTAAGCGTTAGCCTTACTATCTCGTAGTATAAATGTTGCAAGAAATTGCATTTCTGATGACATCACGATACAGTTTTTTTACGATGCATCACGTCTGCACCAGCGCTTGATAACAGCCTTGTTTTGGGTGTTTCAGTAGTTTAAATTGCTGTTCTTGATGTTGTTGAATAAACTTTGATACTATGAACAATATAAGGTTATATGAGAGTATGACTTTAGAATGGTAACATGCGTTAATGTATATCTGATATAAATATATATATATAATAGGATGACATAAATAGAACAATGAGTAGTACGCCCAGAGTATAGGCAAAATTTAAAAGTAGATGAAAGAACACAATCGTCCGGAATACAATGTATAATTCTAGTGCACTTCCATGGGACTATATAGCATACAATAAGCTTTCGGGCCCCGTTTGGGTCGGTTTGGGTGGCAGCTTAGATATCCATAGAGTAGATTCATCTCGGAATCTCCCATATAACTGGGGCTCCTCTTCAATTTAAATGGAGTTACTTGTTTCTTTCAAAACTATACAGTTTTAGAGACTAAGCATTAGTCTGAATAGATATCACCAGTTTGGAATTTGAAACTAATCTGTTTACAGTAACAGAACACTGTTTAAGTGTCATGTACAAATGAGAAAGTGGAATCCCGTCAATTAGGCGGACGAACCTTAAAACTGTTAATAAACATTAAAATAAGCAATATCAGGAAACTGATATGCATATACTATCAGGCAATATACACCAAGATCACCTTCTACAAAAATAAGTTTTAAAAGCCGGTTGATATTCTTTTGCGTATTTGACGATTATATAACTTTCGAAAGTATAAATCCTTTTCCTATACTCAGACGTTCCTGAGCCTTGCGCTTTCCTAATTGTTTTGACTAAAATTATTACCGTTATCATTGTATTTGTTAATGGGAAATACGCGCCGATCAAGTACGTGCCATAAATTAAAGCGACATTTTTCTGGGGGAAAAGAAGTATATACTGACTCAGGTATATTATCGCGGGCTCTATATTAACGCGGTATCGGTAAATCTCGTAATCTACATCCCCTGTCGACTGTTTACTTATTCAAAACTAAGCACAATATTTCATCGCATGATCGAATACAGGACTCGTTGCGTTATGTCATGGCTACTCGTAAGTATACACGTTAACTTTTTTATGATACTTTCTGGAATCTTTATGAGGTGGAATTATCCCTACCTCCATTCGAAATTTGTTAGAAAAGGATCCACTTGTTTGGACGATGTCCTTTGACCCAACCTAGGTCATATGGATACTGATTATGCATAATCTAAAACAGCAAGTGATGTTAACAACATAATCCACACGTAGCACACACAAAAATAGTGTAACCGCGATAATATAGAGTTACCCGCCCTTGAGTCGCCAATGACAGATACTTGGTTACCAACCTCGGTTAAGAAAATCAGCATCGATCAATCAAAATTAACATCCGCGATAATAGAGCGTACCATGCTATATACTTGAAAACTGGATTTGACAAACAAATTACGTTATCAAAATGTTACTTGGCTGAAAACAGTCGCCGAAACACCTCAAACGTAAGGTCCAAAAACACCATTTTGATACCCGTATCTAATAAACTATTTCAGATTTGTTTCCTTTCAGCCACTAAAACACATGGGTACCGTATTCGACGTATAAAGCGCCCCGCTCTAATAAGCGCCCACGGCGGTATTTGCTAATATATTGGCTAGTGAATAATCCCGATTAGCACCCCTTCCGATTGATCAATGTTCACAAGACTTATCTATTCGCGCACAATACGCACTCGTGTGTTATTTGCACCCTTAATTATGGGCAATTAAATTTTAGAAAAACATATCTGTCGTACATAAACATTCCAGGCTGTCAGCATAAACCACGAAATTTATCTTTCAACTCTGTTTTTTTTACTAAAATAATATTCTAATAAGAGCCCCCTATTTCTAATTTTGAGAGCGCCCTGAGCGCTTATTACGTCGAATACGGTATACACTTTATTTTGCCCGACAGTTTAGCATGGTACATAACTATGACTGCATTTCTGTCTGAACTAAGAAAAAACACAAACGAAGTAAATAACACGTATGATTGTATTATATACCAAAAGGGTAATGGACAAAAAGATAACAAATCATCAGAGACCGCTGTTTGTTTGATGGACGTTGTTACACTAAAGTAAAAATGTTGGCAGGAGGAGCGTCATGAACATTGCAGGGGTAGATACGACGGCGACGGTACCATCGATAGTTGCAGCAACTTCACCTGCGTGCACCGGGCCCCTTGCTACGTCTGTCAGAGTTGGGTAGGAGGCATAGTTTGAAATCTGGCACGCATTCGTCTCGTTTCTTGGGAGGTAGATGTAACCACTTTCTCCCCAGCCTGGTCCATAGCTGAAAGTGACAAAATCATTCCAACGTACATGTATGTACAGCAGACTGAGTGGAATCAGTTGGAACTCTTTAAGACCCTCCTTACAATACAGATAGCTTGATTTTGTTTGTTTGTTGTTTAACGCCGCACTCAGTTTATATTCCAGCTATATGATGGCGGTCTGTAAATAATCGAGTCTGGACCAGACAATCCAGTGACTGATATCATGAGCATCGATCCACGAAGTTGGGATACGATGACATGCATCAACCAAGTCAGCGAGCCTGACCACTCGATTCCGTTAGTCGCCTTTTAAGACAAGCGTAGTCGCCTTTTACGCCAAGCATGGGTTGTTGAAGACCTATTCACGGGTATCAGCTTGATAGCCAAAACTGTACGAATACTGTGTTCATGTTATTATGCTGTCATTTCTCTGAAGCGATGTAACCGGCGTGTGTCTTTGGTGGTGATAAATTGGACTGAGGATTAACATATGGAGCACGTGTGTCAAAACAGATTTTATTATGATTTTATGTATTATTATTATCTAAGCTTACTTACGACATTCAATGATTATCAAATATACATTAAGTTTTTAATAACAATCTCTGTATATGTAATGCATATTTTGCCATAAGTGTTGTTTGCGTGTCGCGAGTCATCTCCTTTGTTGTCCTGGGTGCCGTTGTACAAAACAACCTTAGCGCTACGACTGCCGTAAGTCTATGTTTAGATATGGGGGTTATGATCACCTTAGCGCTAAGATCGCTTTGTACAACGGTACCCTGTTCATATTCAGTCACGTAATTTCGTCAGTAGCGGAAAGTGGAGGGTAGTTGAGAATATACTGGCGCAAGTATACACGTAAAGCACATATAACGATGCCGGCCTTGACTTTCGGCGATCGCGTCAGAATAAACCCTCGGGGATCTGAAGAAATTACTGGGATATTTGTTATCGTTATCAAATAGTGTAAAATACCGAAAATCAGTGTTTAACCATGGACTAAGCTGAGACATTTTACAAGTTTTGGCAATAAATTGCAAAATGTTTTATCGAGGACACTAGCCAGATCAGTTTTCATATCTGTGCTTTAAGGCCTCCGCGGTTTGGGGACTTTCACCCAATTTATAACGGTTAGATTTGTCCAAAATGTAACCCTGTTTCATGTTTTCGCTCTGTGGACATCTGACTGCAATTCTTATAGCGGACCGAGAAAAGCTGTGTCGGTAATTGTAATTTTGCCTATATGAAGTGACGTTAATGTGTAACAAAATGTGATTAAGTAAGAACTATATTGACTGTGGTTACAATCATAGGGTTTGTAAGGGAATATATTAAAAGGCACATTCTTGGTTAGGTAGACAGGAGGCAGTCATTGTTGTGGTAGAGACATGCTCCATGTCCAGAACATACTCGAAGAACGTACGTCATGGGCAAGTGTGTACGGAGTGTGACAAGACTGGTACATATGTCGTTCAATAAAGAAGATATATACCATACCTGTTCTTCACCTTCCATACTGGGATCTTGTTGTATGTGGTGTATCCAACAACCAGCACAGCATGATTGACAACACCGCTACAGCCGCTGAACACACCTCGCTTGTAGGACTGCAGCCGCGGTCCTGTCTGGATTCCCACAGATATAGGCCCAATGTGTGCCAGAGCGTTCTTCAACATGGCGTCCGATCCCTGCTTCAGCGTCTTGTAGCCTTTGATATTGAGCCCAATCTTGACCGAAGCTCTAGACTTACATGGCCCGACCTCAAAGTAACATCGCATTATAAGTTATACTTAATGGTTAATCTATATGGCCTTCCGGTATCAAAGGTTACCATCGAGTGCATTTTTCAAAGGTTGCTCTCGCAAACGAGTGAGGCCTTCATTATCGTGCTATTTTGTTGCGGGTTAATTCTGCACATGGGTCCTACACTGGTAGTTATAACAGCCGAGCGTGTGTAAAAATATGAGACTGCTGTAACGTATTTAGCTCACGTGTTACTTCAGGTCATCATTTTGGTATCTCTCAGTGGCATCCTTTAAGTCATAAAGTGCTATTGCTGTGAGAGAAACTAACAGTCATCGTCAAAAACACTTACTGCCATAGCTAGTAATACTAACGAGTATAAAGGAAGATATTACTGTTTTAAATATAATATCGATTGTCAAGTTGAAATCATTACTTGATACTACTATTAGGCACTGTAAAAGAGTGAGTGAGTATGGTTTTACGTCGCTTTTAGCAATATTCAAGCAATATCACGGCGAGGGACACCAGAAATGGACTTCACACATTGTGCGAACGCTTTCACCACTAGGCTACCCGATCGCCACCACAGTGAAGAAGACATGACAACGAATTCATTGTCACTTTGAATGTTATTGTACACGTGAACTGAGAGATTATACAAACTTACAACTCCTCTGTAGGGGTATGATATTGCTGTAGCGATACCTTCCAGGATGACATAGGCATATGCCCCGGTGGGAAGACCGCCACCGCAACCTTTGTTTCCTGCAATGTTTATATACATATTCAGTCGATAGTACCAGCTTAACAATTATTGTTAATGACTCAGTGATCAAGTGGTGTTGCCGCCTTACTACTGCAGCCTGTAGATTATCGAGCTTGGCCCAGTCAAACCGTTGAGGTTTCCTTTTTTAATATAGTCTGAGAAACGCCCCTGTGCAGTCGGGTCACAATCAGCCTAGTCACACATTCTTACCACCAGTTCGCCATTTTAGTTCGACAAGCAAGGGATCTTGGGGACCTGTTCTGACTCGGAATCCTTACAGAGGGACCAGTTGGTGATGTTCAGTGGTCATTTCAATTCGATGCAAAATTAATAGGGTTTTTTTACATAATAAAAGACGTTTTCGACTTACTGGTAGTGGTCAAGCCAAAGATTCATTTCATTTGGATAATGATGAATGAATGAATGAAATATATTATCCTGGCCATCCTCAATGACCAGTCTGAACTGACCTTGAGCTGAAGAGCAGTCAACAAGATCCTGGGGGGATAGATCAACAGACTTCTTGTTCTTCTTGTACTGCTGGCCCTCCAGCGCCCCAACTGCGCTAAATGCCCAACACGATCCACATCTTCCCTGGTCAGTGGACACAAAACTAGTGCAACATGGTATCTTGTTTTATTTGTTTTGTTTTTTTATTTTGTAATCAATCTATCATCCCATCTGATATAGCGAAGGTTTCATGTTCATGTTTGAAGGACCATACTTGTATGCACTGCTTATCTACGAATGCATAGAAAACAAGGGTGAGGGAATGAGTTGGGTTAAACTGAGATCGATGTATGGTACATCCTTCCAACCGGTTATATCTGCAGTGTGATAGTTTACCATAACATGTTTTAAACCGTCATTGGTTTCATATGAGCTCTTCGTCTTATTACTAACAAGCACAAGCATAAACGAAACCAGCTCTCAAGCTGCTTAATAAGTTCGAGATGTGAACACCAACTGACGGTATAGGGGCATTGTTTGGCAAGAAGGGAAATTAAGTTTTTATCAATCGTTTCATAAAAGTGTACATTATGCAAAGGTCGGGGTGAAACAGGTTATGACATGAACACACAATGCCATTTAGAATATAACATGTGTTAGGTTATGACATGTATACTTCGAGTGTATACTTCAACTGACTTATCATTACGAATCTGTATAATACACAACTGCAAATATCAGGACGTTATAACACTCGATCCTTCTGTATGTATGTGTAATATTACCTGATTCTTAACACTCGTCACATAGCCCTTCTTGGACCAGTCGACATTCTCTGGTAAACCGTCCGAGGTATTGAAGGTGTACGGGTTTGACGAGGCTGTCCATACTTCGTCTTTGAAGCAATCCCCTGTGCCGTTTCTGTTCTGTTGGTCCACACAAAATGAAGGAATAAGAAAATGTGATATTTATGGATATATGAATAAAACAAACATTGTCCTAATGCATATATTGGGTGACCACTTAATGAGTACGTGCAATGTACAGTGATGGGGTTTCCTTTCTTATAAACTTTCACCCTTTCAATCTTCTTTTATTGGAATAGTAGAAGGTCGGTAAGTAATACATACCGCTCTCTTGGCTCTGTTCATGGTGTTGACGTCGATGTCTTCGCCGTGGTGGTAGGCAACATACTCCTCGTACGTCTGTGTAAATAGAAAAAGGTACTTCCACCCTATTCAAATATGTAGATAGGGGACAGGTAGGGTTGAGGGAAGATATAACATAATATTTATAATATCTCCATCTCTCTCTCCCTCCCTCCCACTCCACCATTGGATTCCACATTAGAAAGGGTTAGCATGTCCTGCTCTACCGGTAGCACTCGCCACTCACACAATTTACAATACAAAGTCAGACTTAGTATGATTTGTTGCCAGCATTGCACCTGTCATGCGAAGACGGCCCCTAAACCACCGAGTCCGGACCAGACAATCCATTCCTCCATATCTATGGAAGGATATGTCAAGTAACACATTCAAATGAATATAGTCACTAAGTGCACATTTGTGTTCAAAATCCACTGGGGTGGGTAGTGGCCATGGGTTGGTAGTTGGTCGGTCGGTCGGTCGGTCGGTCGTTAGGTCGGTCTCTCTCTCTCTCTCTCTCTCTCTCTCTCTCTCTCTCTCTCTCTCTCTCTCTCTCTCTCTCTCTCTCTCTCTCTCTCTCTCTCTCTCTCTCTCTCGGAATGTACCATGTCATCCCACTGAGTCTCCTGCATCCAGTAGTTCTGTAGTCCTTGGTCCGCCTCCTTGTTGTGCCTCTCAATGTCCTTCACCTTTCTCTCCCATATAGCACGCCTGTAAGAGAACGGTTCAAATAATTCTGATTAAGTCAGCTCGCAATCTGAGAGAATAAAGCGACAAAACCTTTCCCATAGACGTAAATAAAAGCGACAAAACCTTTACCAAAGACGTTAATAAAAGCGACAAAACCCTTTCCATATTCATGAGAAATCTTTGATTCCGACTGTATCATGAGTACGTGTTTATGAATCACAATCAAATAGTGATATTACCAGGTGTTCGCGAAAACGTTAAGGCATCTTGTCCAATCCGTGGCATCCGTCACAGACACATGTAAGCAGGGTCATTTGTAAAGTTCTGACTGCATAAGGGGCGGTCGGGTAGCCCAGTGGTTAAAGCGTTTGCTCGTCACGCCGAAGACCCGGGTTCGATTCCCGACATGGGTATAATGTGTGAAGCCCATTTCTGGTGTCCCCCGCCGTGATATTGCTGGAATATTGCTCAAAGCGGCTTAAAACCATACTCACTCACTTACTGACTGCATAATGAGCATGTGTTTATAAATCACTATCAGTTAGTGATGATACCAGGTATTCGCGAAAAGGTTAGCGTATCCTGGCCCACCGGTGGCACCCGTCACATGCAAAGGCAAGTCAATTATTAATTTTAACAAACAGGGGAACATACAATGAAAATGGGAAATTGCATCAGACATCGTATTGATGAGTCAAATTTAGATATGTCCAGCATAAAACATTTTTATCAACTTCTCTGAGGCCTTGAATATGTAACTTTGAGTCGTGTGACGCTGTTTGAATTCCCCTCATAAATTAAAGTGTACCCGAAATTAAACTTTACCCCATTGTGAAATGTAGGCACCAAAGGGTGCCGGCCCAGTGCGCAGACAAATGCATGAAGCCCATTTCTGGTGTCCCCTACCGTGATATTGCTGGAATATTGCTAAAAGCGGCGTAAAACCAAACTCACTCACTCACTCACTCTTCTTAACGACCCCAGCACACGCAAAGCACCAAGGTCGGACGAGAGGGGAGCGAACCTCGGTTCAACGGTTATTTGTCGCGAAAAGCACATCGCTTCCATGGCCCACCTGGTATAGGTCAGTTAGCGACCCACACCTTTGCCAGCGATATGCGTGAGTGAGTGAGTTTGGTTTTACGCGGCTTTGGCTTAATGTGGGAGGAAAGTCCGAAGTGATGCAGGTCTCAGACGTTTATCACGTCGGTGAAACCCACGAGCACGGGTATGGTGCTGACAACCCTAGACACATAATCGGGGTAAACCGGGATTCGAACAACGGGCTAAAACAGAGTGCTTCTTGTTAACAATCAGAGGGTTCTGGCGTGCCCACGGGACGTCCATATCGCCCTAGAAGAGGGGACTCGTCATTACGGAATGATGATGTAAACAGTCCCTCAAGTCCTATTGTTATATGCCTGGGATATTGCTGAGTGTGGCGGTAGACAACAAACAAACAAACAAACCTACCTGGCTGCCTCGGCTTCTCTCGTGTACATCCGATTGTACTCTTCCTTAAACTCCACCCAGCGTTCATCCAGAGTCACGTCAGTACCACAGACAGTGGACCACATCACTGCCACCACCATTGTCCACGCTGTTATGAGTAGCATCTAGTTTTGAAGCAAAGGAAACTATCAGGTGCCTCAGAGAGATTCGTTGTTCACAGCCCCGTTGGAATTCCGGGTGAGAATCATCTTCCCGAGGCAAGAGAGTTAACTGACTATTAAAGTCCAGTTACCACCCTTGCCGAACTAGGCTGGTATAACGGAGTTACATTTTGTCTGGACTGACGAGTCTATGCATAGTCCAATCAAAATCGCACAACGAAATCGAAATCCGGTTCGTAAACTGACATGCCGATTTTGGTCGATTGCAGGATTTGCAAAACATGTGCACCGCCAACGCGTTGTCATCAGATATTTTCCAAATCTTTTCATGTTTTCAGTCAAGGTTCTCATGTGATTTGATGCATTTCGCGATTTAAGACCCCTTTTATCACAATATAGATCTTGATTATCGATCAGATCGTTTTGACTGGGCAGCGCCATTTTGTTTGAAGCAAATGCAAGTGATACGAGAGGTGGAATCTGATTGGTCCATAGGAGAGGCTTAGAGGTGACATAACTCGTAATAGCCACTGGTGGCGCTACGACCTGGAATTCCAGCCTATTTCGGCAAGGGTGGAAACTGGACTTTTAAAGTCAGTTAACTCTCTTGGCTAGGGAAGATGGGTGAGAACAGGTCCCCGACAAACTATTCATGTTGTAAGATTCGACTTAAAAAGAAAGCAATTGAAGCATGTGTAGCTTTTTACATGTGCGGATTGGGAAATATAGGTTAAGTTATTCTATATATTTTGATTTTGTTATGAGACTAAAATACACATGCAGGGATTTTTTTTTGTCCATTATAAAGATTTCATAGATACCATGTATATGTCCAGAATGTTTCTGTCATGAAGAAAATATATAAATTTATACTCATTATGAGGGGGCACGGGTGGCCCAGTCGTCTAAGGCGCCGCGATTCGCTGTGCAGAGTTGCGTCCCTTGGGCACGCCAGAAACCTATGATTGTGGGTTCGAATCCCGGTTCGCCCCGATTATGTTTCTAGGTTTGTGATCAGCACCATACCCGTGCTCGTGGGTTTCACCGAAGTGGTAAACGTCTGAGACCTGCATCACTTCGAGCTGTTCTCCCACATTAAGCGGACACGCCGCGATATAACTGGGATATTGTTAAAAGCGGCGCTAAACCCAACTCACTTACTCACTCATTAATAAGCAATATATGGGGGTCAGTTGTTTATGTTAAAAAGCGTTGGCAATTCCGTTGGGTAACTTTGAAATTCTGCATCAAATCACTTCTCTTTAACTTTTAAAATGGAATAATAATCAGCTTTTATTCCTCCACAAAAGAAGAAGAAGTATAAGTTACAATGAGGTGCAACTTTACATGAATTGAGAGTCACATTGGAAGTTGTACGTATCGTGCAGTCTGTTATCACATATATTTTGAACAGATGTTTCTATAAGTCAGATCAAATAATCTCATCCGGGGATTTCCTATAACATGAAGTATGTTCCAGCAGTTCGGTGCCTTCTCTATGGTCAAGTTCTTCCACCCTGCTACATTTCATAGCAACACAACGCACACAAGTAACATACTGAATACATCTTCCCGAGGCAAATGAGTAAACTGAGTATTAAAACCCAGTTTCCACCCTTGCCGAACTAGGCTGGAATTATGCAGTCACATTTAGGCTGGACTAACGAGTCTATGCATATTCTAATCAAAATCGCGTAACGAAATCGACATCCACTGGATTTTTACAGTCAGTTAAAGACCTTGCCTCGGGAAGAAGACTGAATATAGAGCGCAGAACGGATTCCATGAAAAAGACATTTGTTCAGAGGTGCTTAATTTGATTGATATATGGTGAAAATAAAAGTTGAATGTACTTTCACCTCACACCAGAATTCTTTTTGCACCGAGAACAAATGCAAGCACGTCCTAGACATAGCACACAAAGATAAACACCAAGAAGGCATTAGGCAACAACGCTTTACATTAGGAATGTGAATAATACTTAGCCACACGTTCATACACAAAACATAAACTGGAAGGTCAATGAATAACTTTAATCCAGTGACCCAATTAAAGCTTGTGCAGCGCTTACCTTCTACAATGAAAATCCTGGTTTAGCAATCGGCCTCCATCGTTCTTGTACATTGCGAGTGTACACATCATATATTATCTCAATCACATGTAAAAATCAACCCGTGAAGATCCGGGGTAGAATATGTCTTAAGAAACCCATCTCGTAAAAGACGACCATGCTTGTCGTACGAGGCGACTAACGGGATCGGGTGGTCAGGCTCGCTGACATGGTTGATGCATGACATCGAATCGAGATTGCGTGTGTCGATGCTCATGATGTCAAACAATGGAATGTCTGGTCTAGATTGTTTTCGGGTTCATGTCATCTCCCATCTCCATCTCCCATCCTTTTCAATTGAAATGGAGTTGTTTGTTTTATCAAAATTATATATTTTCAGATGCTAAGCGTTAAGTCTAGCTTTGAATATGGACCAGGAGTTCACGTCAACGACAACCCGACAACTGCAATATAACAATACAGACTACGGTGATAGGAACATCTTTCAGGGCGGTGGGGTAGCTTAGTGGTTAAAGCGTCACGCCGAAGACCCAGGGTCGATCACCCACATGGGTACAATGTGTGAAGCCCATTCCTGGTGTCCCCTACCGTGATATTGCTGGAGTATTGCTAAAAACGGCGTAAAATCTAACACACTCACGTTAATCTTCATGTGTACCAGTAACCGATATATATTATATGCACAATGTTGCTCTCCGAAAACGCAGTTAAGCATCTACGTAATGCATACTGTCTACGGACTACACACTTAAAGTCTGTTCTATAGCTTTCAACAACAACAACAACAACAAGATTAATAGATCATGAACAACACAGAGTGAGTTAAAGTATTTGAGAAATACCTTTACGGTCTGTTTGTGGATCAGGACAAGAAGCAATGTGTTTCAGCCCGTCCTCACAAGGTGATATCCCAGTGCGCTGGTGGCGCACACAACCCAGCGCTGCTATTTTACTTCCTGTTCACCTGGGTATCGTATTTCTCAGACAGATTGAATGGATGACGTGTATACAATCTACGCCGCGAATACCTGCAATATTGCTCATGCGGCGTTAAGCAATAATTACTCGCTCAATCACCGTTTACACAATCCGTAAAGCCACACACAGCAATATTCCAGCTATATGACGGCGGTCTTTAAATAATCGAGTCTGGACCAGACAATCCAGTGATTGACATCATGAGCATCGATCTATGCAGTTGGGTTGACATGCACCAACAAAGTTAGTCTCCCTTTGCGGCCAGCATGCGTTGCTGAAGACCTGTTCTTGCCCGTGCACCGACAATGAAGACCTCTTTCCCACCCATCTCCTCCCACCGTAAACCCAATTCTTAACACGTACACTGTCTGAATGACAAGGACAACCAACGATAGGTTATAAGAAAAAGTATCTAGTCTCCATACAAAATCCCACCGACAACCGAATATCAAATGGTCGGTCCCTACTTGAGCCTCATCTCCCGAGTTGCAATCATTTCCTAGTTGAGGACATAACTTCTCATTTTGGCAAATATAATTGAATATTTACGGAAGCGTAGTAGGGCCACGTTGAATTTTTTTTTGTCTAAGTATCTCTCTTACGTAGGAGATCGTATTTCTAGACAATTCTAAGTCCTACGTAGGAGATACTAAGTCCTACGTAGGAGAAATTCAGTCCTACGTAGGAGATACTTAGACAAAAAAAGATTCACCGAGGCCCTACTACGCTTCTGTAAATATTTCATCTCCCACCTTTATCCAGTTTTAAAATTTAAAATTGTGCATACAATTTTGACTGCCTCTTAAAATATGTATTCTCGCAAAAATTTCAACAGACGAAAAGAAATTTATGTGTGAAAACATAGCTGTATATGATCGTGAGGACGATTTCAGTTTAGGTTCGTTCATATCGTAACAGACAACGTCAAGAAAGGCTGATAGCGTAAGTGTTTCTACTTGATTCCTAACTGAAACCGTAACTATATACCCTTACGATTTTGATGATTATTATCTATATTGATTCACCAAATTCCAGAGGTCTTTTTCTTTATAAACCTTAAACTTACCTATACTGTTATAAGGTAAAAATGCATCTCCAAGTCAACCTCAAATTTGGTGGTTATAGCTTTAATATGAGGAAGACAAAAAACGCAGAGTTGGCGCAAACAGGCAGGAAATCAAATATGAAAGCGCCAACCATGGACCCTTAAGAAAAGTCCATATAATCTATTCAGGTTTGCACGTTGGAGATAATCGCATTTGCGCATATTATGGATGTTTGATAAATTACTTTTAGAAGAACAAAATGTTAACACCAAATCAAAACTACACATGAAGTTGTGTGTAAATGTTATGTTAATGTTATTAAAGAATTTATTGACAAAACCTGGTAACAAGACACAAAGCGACACGCCCTAGAAAGTGGGATGGTGTAACAACTCAATTAACAATGTCAATATCGGGTTTGACCACCATTTGCGTTGTTACAGGCGAGGCAGCGGTGGCGCACTCAAGACACCAGATGATTGAAAACAGCCTGTTCCAGGATGTTGTTCCGAATGTCAACCAAAGATTGGTTTAAATGAGCCCGCTGTTATAGCTTGACCATTATATACAGACTTGTTCTTATAAAATTACAATTTCTTTGCGGAGATATGTTTCAGTCACTCAGTGATGACATCAGGTGTAAGGGTAAGCGTGTCTTTCCTCATCAAGAGCACCCAATACTCACACAATTTGCTTCAAAAGGTTTTAGTTTTGTTATCTGCGCCCGCAACAGTACTCCTGCCATGTAAACAAACCAGACAACCAGGTGAGCTACAAGCAATCGAGAAAGAGTAGTAGGAGTAAATTAATACCTCCAGCCCCTTCCGCAGGTGCCCTATGAATATTCATGAGCCTAGTGTTATGCTAATAGACATGCATGACATCACAATGAGAACGGCATCATTATGCATGAATGTTAAGAATGTGAAGAATGCAGCCTTTGTTAAAATGTCATAGTTGAGGAATTCTTTAGGAATGCCAGCTCTTTGGAATGCTTTAGGAATGCCAGCTATGTGGAATTCTTTAGGAATGCTAGCTATGTGGAATGTAGTCAGTGTAGATACCTTTAGATGTATACTAGAATGATCCTCATCAAATGGAATGTCACCCTTTCATGAAGAAATTTGGACTTCTTTAGGAATGCCAGCTATGTGGAATGTAGTCGGGGTAGATACCTTCAGATGTATACTAGAATGAGCGTCATCAAACGGAATGTCATCCTATCATGAAAGAATGAAACAGTCCTCGATCTCTTGATATACAATGAATAAGTTGAATGTCGTCATCGAGACGAAGAGGAGAATGTACGAGTTCATTCACCATTTGATCATCACAGTCGACTGCGAGGAAATATATATTATTTTTTTGTCTTACAAAATACAGACGTACCTTTCATTTTTGAATGGAAAAAATCTGATTCAACCAATACCATCAATTCCTTTGCTTATAACCTGCCCTAAGTTTCCCATCTAATCCCTAAATCTGACCATATACGTTCTTCTTAAATTATATCTGGTTCACATCACATATTATTTACCGAACATATGATAAATGAATGTAAGTATGTTGTAAAAGCTAGGTCGAAATGAAACATCCCCAGTTCTTATTAAGGATACATGAACAGTTTCAGAATAGTGTTATCTCACCGATAGTGTTTTCCAAATCCTATTGAAATTCACGAAACACATATCTTCCGTGTAGCATGTATCCCTTATTCCACACGGCTTTAAGAACTTTTACCCACCTCAACCATACACTGTGATATACCACCGTAAATGGTCTTATAGAAATAACCGTCCCCCCTTATGGTAACCCATGTTTAAGTTACAGTATCCTGTTGAGAGATAATACGTTAGTATGTACTCTGAAAAATAATGTTTACCTCATCCGACATCCGGATGAATAACAAATAGGATAGTTTTATAAAAAAAATCTCTACTTTAAAGTAGTAGTAAGAAAACTAGTATATGGTCAGAACAATCCCAAAACCTCCCTTTAGAAATGTGTGGAATGTGGGGAATTTTGAGAATGTCTATGAAACGTCTGAAATGTTATACCACGTCTGGTCTTTTATGGAATGTCTACAATGTTCTAACGCACCTCATTTATTATAGGATGTCGCGAATGTGTATCCCCAGTTTCATTACACAGATATATTCAACAAAATCTATGTACGCGAAGAAAACGTAAACCTCGTCATAAGCTGATGAAGAGATCGAGCAGTTATCTAAGTATTTGTCTATCATCTTCCTTTTCCATCGCATGCAACACTGACCCTTATTTCAACGACCACGTTACCCTAGTAGTAGAAAAAATATCGCTTTGAAACAACAAGGAAACGCGTGTCGACAACAATGTTAAATTCAAATGTTAAGTACACCATCACCACAGCTGGCGGAATGTAGCACATTACCGCACAGTTTCCACGACGTCTCGGGGAATCATCGACAATATCTATTATACCATATTCAAACGTCCACAAGCCTTACTCGTTATTTAATCACGAGTCACTGATTCGCGCTTGGGGGTAGAAGCAATAGTTTTCTTTCACATCTTTGAATTATTTTATATTTCCTGTTTCATTAAAAAGCAGCTTGTTCACTTGAACGCACACGCTATACAGCTGATGGGTCGTTAAGTAGTATTCAATCGTCGAGGTAGAAACGACTTTATCGTCTCGTTGTAAAGTATACATACTACAGCGACTATCGAGCATTGAAATAAATTATGTTTAAAAGTGAACTATTATTCCAGTTTGGTTCTTGGCTTAAAGTGGGAGCAATAGTCACCGTCTTCCGTTGAGGTTCATGTTTACTTCCTGCTTTTTTTGTAACTGAACGAAAATTGTACAACATATCATCTCCCGATGGGAAAGTGCGCCCGAGATTTAATAGCGAGATCTGAGGTTAATCGTCATGTCGCTGACGAACGTAGAAGAGGCATATGTATCAGACCCTTTCAAAGGGAGGACGCTGTAGTCGGAACTCTGGTTGGTTTACTGATGTTAGCAATCACCATTTTGACTGTCGTTAATGCGGTTACTTTTTCGAATTGGAAAAATAAAACTTCACAGCAAATAGACAGTGAACTATTTTTTGACGACCCTCCTATTGAACCAACCCTCAGTCTACAGTTTATCAACGCTTCTTCACAGGGTCTTATCCTATTCAACACGAGCTGTCGTTTGTCGTAGCGAAAATCGCAACGTACTTGACGTGAGACAGTTTCTGAATTAGAAACCAACAATAAAAGGTATAACGCTTACTCAGGGCGGATGGAAAGTGATGTTACGTCTGAGACCTTTCATCCGTGCAAAAATCAGATCCATGAATGAACGGACAATGAATAAACGAACACTGCCTAAATGATTTCCACGAACAATTTAAAATTACATATTTTGGCTATCAACAATGGGCTTAAAGACGATGAAATGAAGAAGAAAGTACTCGAAGTTTACTACGCTCATCAATGAAAACCTACATGCCATAGAATATAGCACTCGAACAGAGTTGTAGCGATATGTACCCGAATAAAAATACTTGAATGTAAATGATAAGATGAATTGCTTGTCACTCCTTTTGCCACGATAATCGAGACACTGTTACCTCCTCCCAATATGGGTTTAAGGTAAAGTGCATGCACGTGTGTGTGTGTGTGTGTGTGTGTGTGTGTGTGTGTGTGTGTGTGTGTGTGTGTGTGTGTGTGTGTGTGTGTGTGTGTGTGTGTGTTGTAGTGTGTGTGTGTTGTAGTCTGTGTGTGTTGTAGTCTGTGTGTGTGTGTGGGGGGGGGGGGGGGGGTGTGTTGTGTTGTGGTGTGTTGTGTGGTGTGTGGTGTGGTATGGTTTTGTGTAGTGTAGTGTATGGTGTGGTGTGGTGTTGTATGTGGGGTGGGGTGGGGTGTGTTTGTGTGTGGTGTGTGGTGGGGTGTGTGGTGGGGTGGTGTGTGGTGTGGTGTGGTGTGGTGTGGTGTGGTGTGTGTGTGTGTGTGTGTGTGTGTGGTGTGGTGTGGTGTGGTGTGGTGTGGTGTGGTGTGGTGTGGTGTGGTTTGGTGTGTGTGTGGTGTGTGTGTGTCGTGGTGTCTGTGTCAAATGGTCTATCAACCAACACATATGAATGATTCACTGTACATAACTATCTTTCAATGATGACAGAACCCACATATGTCAATTCTGTGTTTATTTCCAGATTTACAAAGTGGATAAAGTACAGGGATAGTTACATGGAATAGTCTGATGAGAAACATTGCAAGTGTCATCGCGCAGGAAGGGATTTTCGTCCTGGAGGTCCATATTTGGCTGGACTCCGTGTGTGTGTAAATAGGGTGCGTGTGGGTCGTGCTGGGCGTTCTCTGCCGCCTGTTCTCTGGAAGGACAGCACTACCGGAAGACAGGGCGACTCGTGTCCCTATCGGAACAGAACCTTGTGGACTTTTCACGGAATGGTGGGTACTATGCAGTGCCACTCACGCAATTTACCAAATCTTGTAACGTCTTATAGTTTATACACACTCTTATCTTATATGTCAGTTACCGAAAGTGTTTCATATTAAATCATCCTTTAAAAAACACCAACAGTGTCTTTTACAATAAAACATCAACGACAGAGAAAAAAACAAGTCTTGATTTGTTGAAACGACCCGTGAAGATCTGGGGTAGAAGCCATATTTGCCGTGAACGGTGACTATGCTTGTCGTAAGAGGCGACCAATGGGATCGGGTGGTCAAGCTCGCTGAATTGGTTGATGTATGTCATCGATCCCAATTGCGTGGATTGATGCTCATGATATCAATCACTGGATTGTCTGGTCCATACTCGATTATTTACAGACCGCCGTCATATAGCTGGAATATTGCTGAGTGTGACGTTACACACACAAAAGGTTACCTAGGAAGCACAGGAAAGCAACACATTTGGGACACATGACAACAACCCTTGTGGACCTGCCCCAAAACCTACATTATTTGTTTGTTTTGTTTGTTTGTTGTTTTGACGTGATTGACGTCATGAGCATCGATCAACGCGATTGGGATACGATGAAATGCACCAACCAACTTGAAGTCAGCAAGCCTAACCACCCGATCCCATTAGTTGCTCCTTACGACAAGCGCAGTCGCCTACATTTACATCATCCTATTGTTTCATTATAAAGGACAAAGTATAATATTTTCCTCCACAACATTCACCGACTAACAACCATCTATATTAATTAAGGTAATTACGGATGTGAAGGAGGATCCATGGAGTTGGCATTCGATTACATTCGTCAAAATAAAGGCATAGACACAGAGGAGTCCTACCCGTACGTAGCCAAGGTGAGAGGCAATTGATAGGATCGGGATAATTGAGCCGTAGGTGAGGTGAGTGAGTTTTGTTTTACGCCGCTTTTAGCAATATTCCATCAATATCACAGCGTGGGACACCAGAAATGGGCTTCACACATTGAAACCATTTGGGGAATCAACCCGGGCTTTCGGCGTGACGAACGAACGCTTTATCCACTAGGCTACCTCATCGCGCCGAGACTGAGTTGAGTATTGGAGATATGCTTTTCACATATTTGCAAATATTTAATTATATATAAGCAGGAGTTACAGTAAGAATGTGCATTCCCTCAACTATTGTGATGTATTTCAGTATCAAGTCTTACAGTCTTATCCAAGGTAGAGTTTTCATTGCTGCCGGATATTTACTAAATAAACTTTGAATTTAATATCTGGGTCAAGATTTTAACAACTAAATGAACAATTATACGAAATTAAAGATTTAACAATGAACAAATAGTCATCTTCTGCGAGGCAAGGGAGTTAACTGGCTATAAATGTCCGGTTTTCAGAAACTGGACTTTTACTGTCGGTTAGCTCCCTTGCCTCGGGAAGAGATAAATTGTATGCTTTAGATAAGCCGAGTCCCAACGATTAATATTCTGGGAGGCCTGAGAATTTGTAGCTTTTTTTCTGTGACTGCTTTTTAATTTTCTCTAAAAGAAGGTCGCTGTGTGGTTGAAATAATGCAGATGCGACATTAAATTTCAACTCACTCACTCACTCACTTTCTAAAAGGTTGGTTGGTCCGATGTTTTACGCCGCACTTAGCAATATTCCATCTAAGTCAAGTCAGCGAGCCTGACCAACCGATCCCGTTAGCCGCCCCTTACGACAAGCATAGTCGCCTTTAACGGCAAGCATGTGTTGCTGAAGCCCTATTCTAAACCGGATCTTCACGGGTCTCCCTAAAAGGAGGAACCAGGACAAATTGTGAGGAAGCACAACCCACTTGTGTCAGGACATCAACCACGTCCAGTAATTAATTGCTGGTTATTTTGTATAACCCGATTCTTTTGAATGATTTTTGGGAACAAATTAAATTTATTTTTTACGAAATATATCCCTTTCTTTTGAATAAAAACGTACGTTCAGTCACATTTGCGGGTCACATCTTCGTGGCAAAGACGCTTCATCGCTACTAACAAAATAGTTTCTGGCTTAGTTCGATATGTATCCCCATGACGTCATACTTTTATTTGCATCAATTGGAATACGAAAGTAACTTCTCGAGGCGAGCAATTTACGTAGCATCATTTCATCCTGAAATTTAGTCACGGTATGGCTGAAATATTGCCGATGTGACGCTAAATATTAACTCACTCATCCTGAAATTATGAGGTCACGGCAATAAATTACCAAATAATGTAATAACCAAATACCGTCCCACCCACAGCAAAAAGATTGCAACTTCAGCCAGGAGAATGTAGGCGCGACCGATGCCGGCTTTGCTGTTGTCATATCCGAGTCTGAAGATGCCCTTAAGAGTGCGGTGGCCTTAGAGGGACCCATCTCTGTGGGTATCGACGCCTCCTCAAGATCCTTTATGCTGTACAAGAGCGGCATCTTCAGCTCCTCTAAATGCAGCAGCACCAAACTCAACCATGCTGTGACTGTGGTGGGCTACGGCGCACAGAAAAAACAAGAGTACTGGCTGCTTAAGAACAGGTACACATGTACACATTGGTCACAGGCTAGCTGTTGCATTCCTGCTTTAGTAATCTTCCTGAGGCAAGGGGGTTAACTGACTATTAAAGTCCAGTTTCCTTCCTTGTCGAACTAAGGCTGGAAATATGGAGTTACATTTTGGCTGGACTAACGAGTCTATGCATGGTCCATCAAAATCGCGTAACGAAATCGACATCCGGTTCGTAAAATGCCGTGCAGATTTCGGTCGATTGCAGGATTTCGGTCGACAACTCGGCGTCAAGAGATATTTTCAAAATCTTTCACGTTTTAATCAAGGATCGCAAGTGATTTGATGCACTTTGCGAAGTAAGACCCGTTTTATTACAATATAGATCTTGCTTGTCGATCAGATCGTGCTGCCTGGGCAACGCCATTTTGTTTGAAGGAAATGCAAGTGATATGAGACGTCGAACCTGATTGATCAATAGGAGGGACATAGAAGGGACATAACCGTTATGGTCACTGATGGCGCAACGAACGAACCCAGAAATTCCAGCCTAGTTCGGCAAGGGTGAAAAAAGGGTTTTTACAGTCGGTCCCTTGTCCCGGGGAGATGTGGTTTAGTGAGAAAACACATTTGGCAAGGTGGGTGAGTGAATCAGGTTATGTTTGTGTGCACGCACCAGGTAAGATGATTGTGTGATAAGGTAATTGAGTGAACGCGTTAGGGAAGATATGTGAGTAAATGCATTAAGGAGGTAAACTGCAGGTACACCTTTGTGTGAGGTGAAAGGAGAGATGGAAACCTGATCAAGATCGTATGAAGAAAGGTACCATGATGACACATAACAAAGTAGGTTTCGCGTGAAAGGTCTTCCTCCAACTGTCATGAGTTGCCTCTACAACGATCTCTTATCTGTAAGTACGAAAGCCATACTCTTTTTTTAACTTACGTGTAAGCAGAGACCATATGGCAATAAAGTGATAAATAGCAACGACATTTCTCAAATTAAACTGATGATCCGTGATATTGCAGGAATGCATTCAATGCTAGGTTAATCCAACTGATTTACTCACTGGACACTCTAGTTCTTTTAGCATAAAATGTGACCACATCAACATTTCTGTCTTCCAGCTGGAGCACCACGTGGGGCGAGGACGGATATGTGTTTTTGGCCCGTAACGATGGCAACATGTGTGGGGTTGCCACCGAGGGAATCCTGCATCTTGTGTAGATACTGTGACGACATCTGACGTCGTGAGACGATGTTGTCATGTAATGTTTCAACTGACGGTCTCATGTATGTTATGAAATACTATTCGTAAACGTACTCACTAGCTTTTGTTTGTTTGTGGTTGTGTGACTGTAAATAATCGAGACTGGATCAGACAGTCCAGTGATTGACATCATGAGCATCGATCTACGCAATTGGGATACGATGTCATCGATGTCATCGATCCTTACCACCCAATCCCGTTCGTGGCCTCTTACAACAAGCATGGGTTGCTGAAAAACAATTTTAACCCGGATAATGACACTCAGTAATATTCCAACTATATGTTGCCCGCCTGTAAATATCTAGTCTGGACCAGACAAACCAGTGACTGATATTATTTGCCACTTGGCACCCAGTCGGGTTACGGTAACACGCAATCAACCCGACCAGGGTCGGTTGCTGGGGACCTAATCACTAGAAAGCTTGCTGAGTATGCACAATGCGCTTTCGAGTAGATCATGTTACTTTTCGTAAAAAGACAATATTAAGAGAACTCATAACCTTACATTATACTTTAAAACCGAACATGTGTAAGGGGGTCATTGTTTGTCTGTTTGTTTGTTTTGTTTGTTGTTTTATTCCAACTATGCGACGGCAGTCTGTAAATAATCGAGTCTGAACCAGACAATCCAGTGATTGATAGCATGAACATCGAACTACACAACTGGGATACGATGTCATGTATCAACCAAGTCAGCGAGCCTGACTACCCGATCCCGTTAGTCGCCTCTTACGACAAGCATAGTCGTTTTTTACGGCAAGGATGGGTTGCTTAAGACCTATTCTAATCCGGATCTTCATGGGTCAAACTGGTCATTGAAAACTCTTAATTGAACACATTTTTCTCAATAATGAAAGATATGACAAAATAGACATCACTCATTATTGATAGTGACGGTAAAGAGTGATTTGTCATTTGTCGATGCATTTGTCATTTGTTTAATGCATTCGTTTGGTGGTATACAGTGCTTCATAATAACTACCTTTAAGTTTAATTATATGAAATATGCAACCTTAACAACTCCCATGTGAACTTGATTTTAAGAAAAGGGAAATACTTATGTTAGACTTATATGTAATGGTTGGCAGGAGAGGCGTCATGAACATTGCAGAGGTAGATACGACGGCACCGGCATCATCGATAGCACCAGCGACTTCACCTGCGTGCACTGGGCCCCTTGCTACGTCTGTCAGAGTTGAGTAGGAGGCATAGCTTGAAATCTGGCACGCATTCTTCTTGTTTCTTGGGAAGTCCTGCGTGCACCGGTCCCCTCACTACGTCAATACTTATTAGTGGTGACGCAGTCATAAATTAAAGGGGCACTGATCTAAAGCAATTCCCCGGGACTGGTTGTTGCCTTTGTTATTGTATTTTCCCGTGAGTACCCGGATGATACGCAACGCAACTGAGCGTGACAAGAGACTGGGCTACCGTCTGCAAGGACAGCTAGATAAACTTGGAGGCAATATTTGTTTTACTTTTTTTTAACACTGATTGGTTAACCGTGATCTATAAAGATTTCGACAAAGGGCGCATGTTAATTAATTTCTTCAGCCTAATCTAACAGACAAAAAGAACGACGGAGTTCATCTGATGTCGTCATTTGGAAATACCCCTGATGGTTATAGTTTAACAATTCCCGGAGAATTGCTTAAGATCAGTGCCCCTTTAAGACCTGACCCCTTGTTGAGTTCCGGGTCAGATAAGGTGCCAAGCACCAATGCTTGTCTCACGGGCTGATCTGGGTCATTGGGCGCTATCGTACCACGATATCGGCAACTGGTGTGCATGACCCTTACTGGATTATTGACAGGCCGCCGTGACCTGTCAGACTGCAGCGTGACACAGGTATGACTCACCTACCCATACCCTTAATGACTCATAGTCTGGAGTTAAATCGATAACACTGGCTGCCAAATTGAAATAAAAAGTCTAAAGTATTCTTCTGGGGGAAAGGTATATTATCGCGGGCTCTATATTATCGCGGTATCGGTAAATCTCGTAATCTACATCCCCTGTCGACTGTTTACTTATTCAAAACTAAGCACAATATTTCATCGCATGATCGAATACAGGACTCGTTGCGTTATGTCATGGCTACTCGTAAGTATACACGTTAACTTTTTTATGATACTTTCTGGAATCTTTTTGAAGTGGAATTATCCCTACCTCCATTCGAAATTGGTTAGAAAAGAATCCACTTGTTTGGACGATGTACTTTGACCCAACCTAGGTCGTATGGATACTGATTATGCATAATCTAAAACAGGAAGTGATGTAAACAACATAATCCACACGTAGAATACCAAAAATAGTGTAACCGAGATAATATAGAGTTACCCGCCCTTGAGTCGCCAATGACAGGTACTTGGTTACCGACCTCGGTTAAGAAAATCAGCATCGTTCAATCAAAATTAACTTCCGCGATAATAAAGCGTACCATGCTATATACTTGAAAACTGGATTTGACCAACAAATTACGTTATCAAAATGTTACTTGGCTGAAAACAGTCGCCGAAACACTTCAAACGTAAGGTCCAAAAACACCATTTTGATACCCGTATCTAATAAACTATTTCATATTTGTTTCCTTTCAGCCACTAAAAAACATGGGTACCGTATTCGACGTATACAGCGCCCCGCTCTAATATTGGTGAATAATCCCGATTAGCACCCCTTCCGATTGATCAATGTTCACAAGACTTATCTATTCGCGTACAATACGCACTCGTGTGTTATATGAACCCTTAATTATGGGCAATTAAATTCTAGAAAAATATATCTGTCGTACATAAACATTTCAGGCTGTCAGCATAAACCACGAAATTTATCTTTCAACTCTGTTTTTTTTACTAAAATAATATTGTAATAAGAGCCCCCTATTTCTAATTTTGAGAGCGCCCTTTGCGCTTATTACGTCGAATACGGTATACACTTTATTTTGCCCGACAGTTTAGCATGGTACATAACTATGACTGCATTTCTGTCTGAACTAAGAAAAAACACAAACGAAGTAAATAACACGTATGATTGTATTATATAGCAATATAACGTTTTAAAAATCATCAGAAGAGGAAGAGATGTATCAAAAGGGTAATGGACATAAAGATAACAAATCATCAGAGAGCGTTGTTTGTTTGATGGACGCTGTTACACTTAAGTAAAAAAGGTTGGCAGGAGGAGCGTCATGAACATTGCAGTGCAGACGGCGACGGCACCATCGATAGTAGCAGCAACTTCACCTGCTGCGCCTGTCAGAGTTGGGTAGGAGGCAAAGTTTGAAATCTGGCATGCATTCGTCTCGTTTCTTGGGAGGTAGAAGTAACCACTTTCTCCCCAGCCTGGTCCATAGCTGAAAGTGACAAAATCATTCCAACGTACATGTATGTACAGCAGACTGAGTGGAATCAGTTGGAACTCTTTAAGACCCTACTCTCCTTACAATACAGATAGCTTGATTTTGTTTGTTTGTTGTTTAACGCCGTACTCAGTTTATATTCCAGCTATATGATGGCGGTCTGTAAATAATCGAGTCTGGACCAGACAATCCAGTGACTGACATCATGAGCATCGATCCACGAAGTTGGGATACGATGACATGCATCAACCAATTGCAAGTCAGCGAGCCTGACCACTCGATCCCGTTAGTCGCCTCTTACGACAAGCGTAGTCGCCTTTTACGACAAGCATGGGTTGTTGAAGACCTATTCACGGGTCTCAGATAGCTTGATAGCCAAAATTGTACAAATACTGTGTGCATGTTATTATGTTGTCATTTCTCTGAAGCGATGTAACCGGCGTGTGTCTTTGGTGGTAATAAATTAGACTGAGGATTAACATATGGAGCACGTGTGTCAAATCTATTTTCTGATTAATCTAAGCTTACTTACGACATTCAATGATTTTCAAGTACACATTAAGCTTTATTAACAATCTCTGTATATGTAATGCATATTTTGCCATAACTGTTGTTTGCGTGTCGCGAGTCATCTCCTTTGTTGTCCTGTTCATATACCACTTACCTTACCACTGTAGCCTGTAGGTTATCGAGCTTGGACCAGTCAAACCGTTAGATTCCTCCTACATATTTAAAGACGATTTCGACTTATTGGTAGTGGTCAAGCCAAACATTCATTTCATTTGGATAATGATGAATGAATGAATGAAATATATTATCCTGGCCATCCTAAATGACCAGTCTGAACTGACCTTCAGCTGAAGAGCAGTCAACAAGATCCTGGGGGGATAGATCAACAGACTTCTTGTTCTTCTTGTACTGCTGGCCCTCCAGCGCCCCAACTGCGCTAAATGCCCAACACGATCCACATCTCCCCTGGTCAGTGGACATAATACTAGTGCAACATGGTATCTTGTTTTATTTGGGTTTAAAAAATTGTGTAATCAATCTATCATCCCATCTGATATAGCGAAGGTTTCATGTTCATGTTTGAAGGACCATACTTGTATGCACTGCTTATCTACGAATGCATAGAAAACAAGGGTGAGGGAATGAGTTGGGTTAAACTGAGGTCGATGTATGGTACATCCTTCCAACCAGTTATATCTGCAGTGTGATAGTTTACCATAACATGTTTTAAACCGTCATTGGTTTCATATGAGCTCTTCGTCTTATTACTAACAAGCACAAGCATAAACGAAACCAGCTCTCAAGCTGCTTAATAAGTTTGAGATGTGAACACCAACTGACGGTATAGGGGCATTGTTTGGCAAGAAGCGAAATTAAGTTTATATAAATCGTTTCATAAAAGTGTACATTATGCAAAGGTCGGGGTGAAACAGGTTATGACATGAACACACAATGTCATTTAGAATATAACATGTGTTATGACATGTATACTTCGAGTGTATACTTCAACTGACTTATCATTACGAATCTGTATAATACACAACTGCAAATATCAGGACGTTATAACACTCGATCCTTCTGTATGTATGTGTAATATTACCTGATTCTTAACACTTGTCACATAGCCTTTCTTGGACCAGTCGACATTCTCTGGTAAACCGTCCGAGGTATTGAAGGTGTACGGGTTTGGCGAGGCTGTCCATACTTCGTCTTTGAAGCAATCCCCTGTGCCGTTTCTGTTCTGTTGGTCCACACAAAATGAAGGAATAAGAAAATGGGATATTTATGGATATATGAATAAAACAAACATGGTCCAAATGCATATATTGGGTGACCACTTAATGAGTACGTGTAAAGCAATGTACAGTGATGGGTTTTCCTTTTTTATAAACTTTCACCCTTTCAATCTTCTTTTATTGGAATAGTAGAAGGTCGGTAAGTAATACATACCGCTCTCTTGGCTCTGTGCATGGTGTTGTCGTCGATGTCTTCGCCGCGGTGGTAGGCAACATACTCCTCGTACGTCTGTGTAAATAGAAAAAGGTACTTCCACCCTATTCAAATATGTAGGTAGGGGACAGGTAGGGTTGAGGGAAGATATAACATAATATTAATAATATCTCCATCTCTCTCTCTCCCTCCCTCCCTCCCACTCCACCATTGGATTCCACATTAGAAAGGGTTAGCATGTCCTGCTCTACCGGTAGCACTCGCCGCTCACACAATTTACAATACAAAGTAAGGCTTAATTAGTTTGATTTGTTGCCTGTATGGCACCTGCCATGCGAAGACGGTCCTTAAAACCACCGAGTCCGGACCAGACAATCCATTCCTCCATATCTATGGAAGGATGACATGAATGTCAAGTAACACATTCAAATGAATATAGTCACTAAGTGCACATTTGTGTTCAAAATCCACTGGGGTGGGTAATGGCCATGGGTTGGTAGTTGGTCCGTCGGTCGGTCGGTCGGTCGGTCTCTCTCTCTCTCTCTCTCTCTCTCTCTCTCTCTCTCTCTCTCTCTCTCTCTCTCTCTCTCTCTCTAAATATACCATGTCATCCCACTGAGTCTCCTGCATCCAGTAGGTCTGTAGTCCGTGGTCCGCCTCCTTGTGCCTCTCAATGTCCTTCACCTTTCTCTCCCATATAGCACGCCTGTAAGAGAACGGTTCAAATAATTCTGATTAAGTCAGCGACAAAATCTTTCCCATAGACGTAAATAAAAGCGACAAAACCTTTCCCAAAGACGTAAATAAAATAATGCATAATGAGCATGTGTTTATAAATCACTATCAGTTAGTGATGATACCAGGTATTCGCGAAAAGGTTAGCGTATCCTGGCCCACAGGTGGCACCCGTCACATGTAAAGGCAAGTCAATTATTAATTTAAACAAACACGGGAACATACAATGAAAATGGGAAATTGCATCAGACATCGTACTGATGCGTCAAATTTGGATATGTCTGGCATAAAACATTTTTATCAACTTCTCTGAGGCCTTGAATACTGTAACTCTGAGTCGTGTGACGCTGTTTGAATTCCCCTCATAAATTAAAGTGTACCCAAACTTAAACTTTACCCCATTGTGAAATGTAGGCACCAAAGGGTGCCGGCCCAGTGCGCAGACCCAGTGCGCAGACCCCGGGAAAGTTGAAGCCATCCCAAAGCCACCCACTTGTCTTTCCAAAATAAAATAATATTATCAAGAACCATTCGCCTTCTTCAAGTATATATCTCTATATAAATGATATATATGAGGATATATGTAGATTTTCAAGTTGACAACTTTTAAGTTGACACTGAATGAAGATTTCATAACTTGTCGAAAAACATGTTATTCCGAACCAGCGTCTTATTATCCGAGGACATATGACAGTCGGCCTTGACATGACAGAACGGCGTGAAATTTATATTGACCTTAAAATCTGAGAAATTAACATGTACAACCTTGAGTTAGATCGTGTTAACGGTGCTCATGTTAAAGAAATTACATGAATTTTGATAAAAACAATTTATCAAATATCTATCTATCTATCTATCTGTCTATCTGTCTATCTATCTATCTATCTATCTATCTATCTATCTTTGTTCAGGGCACCACAAGGGTGCGTTATGTTCATGTTTCTGTGGGTCATTGTTCTTCTTAACGACCCCAGCACACGCAACGCATCAAGGTCGGACGAGAGGGGAGCGAACCCGGTTCAACGGTTTTTTGTCGCGAAACCGGGATTCGAACAACGGGCTAAAATACATTGCTTCTTCTAAACAATCATAGGTTTCTAGCGTGCCCAAGGGACGCCAAAGGGACGCAACTCTGCACAGCGAATTACGGCGCCTTAGACGACTGAACCACCCGTGTCCCCGCAAGCGATATGAACGCTCTCGATTGATGTTTCGGGGGTTGAAAGCCCATATCGCCCTAGAAGAGGGGACTCGTCATTACGGAATGATGATGTAAACAGTCCCTCAAGTCCTATTGTTATATGCCTGGGATATTGCTGAGTGTGGCGGTAGACAACAAACAAACAAACAAACCTACCTGGCTGCCTCGGCTTCTCTCGTGTACATCCGATCGTACCCTTCCTTAAACTCCACCCAGCGTTCGTCCAGAGTCACGTCAGTACCACAGACAGTGGACCACATCACTGCCACCACCATTGTCCACGCTGTTATGAGTAGCATCTAGTTTTGAAGCAAAGGAAACTATCAGGTGCCTCAGAGAGATTCGTTGTTCACAGCCCCGGAATTCCGGGTGAGAATCATCTTCCCGAGGCAAGAAGAGTTAACTGACTATTAAAGTCCAGTTAACACCCTTGCCGAACTAGGCTGGTATAATGGAGTTACATTTTGGCTGGACTGACGAGTCTATGCATAGTCCAATCAAAACGCACAACGAAATCGAAATCCGGTTCGTAAACTGTCATGCCGATTTTGGTCAATTGCAGGATTTGCAAAGCATGTGCACCGCCAACGCGTTGTAAACAGATATTTTCCAAATGTTTTCAGTCAAGGTGCTCATGTGATTTGATGCACTTCGCGATTTAAGACCCCTTTTATCGCAATATAGGTCTTGATTATCGATCAGATCGTCTTGACTGGGCAGCGCCATTTTGTTTGAAGCAAATGCAAGCGATACGAGAGGTGGAATCTGATTGGTCCATAGGAGAGGCTTAGAGGGGATATAACTCGTAATAGCCACTGGTGGCGCTACGACCTGGAATTCCAGCCTATTTCGGCAAGGGTGGAAACTGGACTTTTAAAGTCAGTTAACTCTCTTGGCTAGGGAAGATGGGTGAGAACAGGTCCCCGACAAACTATTCATGTTTTAAGATTCGACTAAAAAAGAAAGCAATTGAAGCATGTGTAGCTTTTTACATGTGCGGATTTGGGAAATATAGGTTAAGTTATTCTATATGTTTCGATTTTGTTATGAGACTAAAATACACATGCTGGGATTTATTTGTCCATTATAAATAATTTCATAGATACCATGTATATGTCCAGAATGTTTCTGTCATGAAGAAAATATAATTTATTCTCATTAATAAGCAATATATGGGAAATGGCAGGGTGGGTGTTCGTCAGTTGTTTATATCAAAAAGCGTTGGCAACTCCGTTGGGTAACTTTGAAATTCTGCATCAAATCACTTCTCTTTAACTTTTAAAATGGAATAATAATCAGCTTTTATTCCTCCACAAAAGAAGAAGAAGTATAAGTTACAATGAGGTGCAACTTTACATGAATTGAGAGTCACATTGTTTGTTGTACGTATCGTGCAGTCTGTTATCACATATATTTTGAACAGATGTTTCTATAAATCAGATCACATGATCGCATCCGGGGATTTCCTATAACATGAAGTATGTTCCAGCAGTTCGGTGCCTTCTCTATGGTCAAGTTCTTCCACCCTCCTACATTTCATAGCAACACAACGCACACAAGTAACATACTGAATACATCTTCCCGAGGCAAGGGAGTTAACTGACTATTAAAGTCCAGTTTCCACCCTTGCCGAACTAGGCTGGAATTATGCAGTCACATTTAGGCTGGACTAACGAGTCTATGCATATTCTAATCAAAATCGCGTAACGAAATCGACATCCACTGGAATTTTACAGTCAGTTAACGCCCTTGCCTCGGGAAGATGACTGAATATAGAGCGCAGGACGGATTCCATGAAAAAGATATTTGGTAAGAGGTGCTTAATTTGATTGATATATGGTGAAAATAAAAGTTGAATGTACTTTCACCTCACACAAGAAACTTGTATGCACCGAGAACAAAAGCAAGCACATCCTAGACATAGCACACAAAAATAAACACCAAGAAGACATTAGGCAACAACGCTTTACATTAGGAAGGTGAATAATACTTAGCCACACGTTCATACACAAAACATAAACTGGGCGGTCAATGAATAACTATAATCCAGTGACCCAGTTAAAAGCTTTTGCAGCGGTTACCTTCTACAATGTAAATCCTGGTTTAGCAATTTAGCAAGCGCCCTGCTATCGTTCTTGTACATTGCGTGTGTACACATCATATAGTATCTCAATCACATGTAAAAATCAACCCGTGAAGATCCGGGGTAGAATATGTCTTAAGAAACCCATCTCGTAAAAGACGACCCTGCTTGTCGTACGAGGCGACTAACGGGATCGGGTGGTCAGGCTCGCTGACATTGTTGATCCATCTCCCATCCTTTTCAATTGAAATGGAGTTGTTTGTTTTATCAAAATTATATATTTTCAGATGCTAAGCGTTAAGTCTAGCTTTGAATATGGACCAGGAGTTCACGTCAACGACAACCCGACAACTGCAATATAACAATACAGACTACGGTGATAGGAACATCTTTCAGGGCGGTGGGGTAGCTTAGTGGTTAAAGCGTCACGCCGAAGACCCAGGGTCGATCACCCACATGGGTACAATGTGTGAAGCCCATTCCTGGTGTCCCCTACCGTGATATTGCTGGAGTATTGCTAAAAACGGCGTAAAATCTAACACACTCACGTTAATCTTCATGTGTACCAGTAACCGATATATATTATATGCACAATGTTGCTCTCCGAAAACGCAGTTAAGCATCTACGTAATGCATACTGTCTACGGACTACACACTTAAAGTCTGTTCTATGGCTTTCAACAACAACAACAACAACAACATTAATAGATCATGAACAACACAGAGTGAGTTAAAGTATTTGAGAAATACCTTTACGGTCTGTTTGTGGATCAGGACAAGAAGCAATGTGTTTCAGCCCGTCCTCACAAGGTGATATCCCAGTGCGCTGGTGGCGCACACAACACAGCGCTGCTATTTTACTTCCTGTTCACCTGGGTATCGTATTTCTCAGACAGATTGAATGGATGACGTGTATACAATCTACGCCGCGAATACCTGCAATATTGCTGATGCGGCGTTAGGCAATAATTACTCGCTCAATCACCGTTTACACAATCCGTAAAGCCACACACAGCAATATTCCAGCTATATGACGGCGGTCTGTAAATAATCGAGTCTGGACCAGACAATCCAGTGATTGACATCATGAGCATCGATCTATGCAGTTGGGTTGACATGCACCAACAAAGTTAGTCTCCTTTTGCGGCCAGCATGCGTTGCTGAAGACCTGTCCTTGCCGTGCACCGACAATGAAGACCTCTTTCCCACCCATCTCCTTCCACCGTAACCCCAAATCTTAACACGTACACTGTCTGAATGACAAGGACAACCAACGATAGGTTATAAGAAAAAGTATCTAGTCTCATAACAAAATCCCACCGACAACCGAATATCAAATGGTCGGTCCCTACTTGAGCCTCATCTCCCGAGTTGCGATCATTTCCTATTTGAGGACAAAACTTCTCATTTTGGCAAATATAATTGAATATTTACGGAAGCGTAGTAGGGCCACGGTGATTTTTTTTTTGTCTAAGTATCTCCTACATAGGACTTACTATCTCGTAGAACTTAGTATCTCCTACGTAGGACTCAGTAGCTCCTACGTAGGACTTACTATCTCCTACGTAGGACTTAGTATCTCCTACGTAGGAAGTCCTACGTAGGATATAGGAAGTCCTACGTAGGGGATAATAAGTCCTACGTAGGAGATAATAAGTCCTATGTAGGAGATAATAAGTCCTACGTAGGAGAAAGTAAGTCCTACATAGGAGATAGTAAGTCCTACGTAGGAGATACTAAGTCCTACGTAGGAGATACTTACACACGCAAAAATTCACCGTGGCCCTACTACGCCTCCGTAAATATTTCATCTCTCACCTTTATCCAGTTTTAAAATTTAAAATTGTGCATAAAAATTTGACTGCCTCTTAAAATATGTATTCTCGCAAAAATTTCAACAGACGAAAATAAATTTATATGTGTGAAAACATAGCTGTATATGATCGTGAGGACGAATTCAGTATAGGTTCGTTCATATCGTAACAGACAACGTCGAGAAAGTCTGATAGCGTAAGTGTTTCTACTTGATTCCTAACTGAAACCGTAACTATATACCCTTACGATTTTGATGATTATTATCTATATTGATTCACCAAATACAATAGGTCTTTTTCTTTATAAACCTTAAACTTACCTATACTGTTATAAGGTAAAAATGCATCTCCAAGTCAACCTCAAATTTGGTGGTTATAGCTTTAATATGAGGAAGACAAAAAACGCAGAGTTGGCGCAAACAAGCAGGAAATCAAATATGAAAGCGCCAACCATGGACCCTTAAGAAAAGTCCATATAATCTATTCAGGTTTGCACGTTGGGGATAATCCAATTTGCGCATATTATGGATGTTTGATAAATTACTTTCTAGTATATGGTCAGAACAATCCCAAAACCTTATTTCAACGACCACGTTACCCTAGTAGTAGAAGAAATATCGCTTTGAAACAACATGGAAACGCGTGTCGACAACAATGTTAAATTCAAATGTTAAGTACACCATCACCACAGCTGGCGGAATGTAGCACATTAGCGCACAGTTTCCACGACATCTCGGGGAATCATCGACAATATCTATTATACCATATTCAAACGTCCACAAGCCTCTCTCGTTATTTAATCACGAGTCACTGATTCGCGCTTGGGGGTAGAAGCAATAGTTTACTTTCACATCTTTGAATTATTTTATATTTCCTGTTTCATTAAAAAGCAGCTTGTTCACTTGAACACACACGATGGGTCGTTAAGTAGTATTCAATCGTCGAGGTAGAAACGACTTTATCGTCTCGTTGTAAAGTAAACATACTACAGCGACTATCGAGCATTGAAATAAATTATGTTTAAAAGTGAACTATTATTCAAGTTTGGTTCTTGGCTTAAAGTGGAAGCAATAGTCACCGTCTTCCGTTGAGGTTCATGTTTACTTCCTGCTTTTTTGTAACTGAACGAAAATTGTACAACATGTCATCTCCCGATGGGAAAGTGCGCCCGAGATTTAATAGCGAGATCTGAGGTTAATCGTCATGTCGCTGACGAACGTAGAAGAGGCATATGTATCAGACCCTTTCAAAGGGAGGACGCTGTAGTCGGAACTCTGGTTGGTTTACTGATGTTAGCAATCACCATTTTGACTGTCGTTAATGCGGTTACTTTTTCGAATTGGAAAAATAAAACTTCACAGCAAATAGACAGTGAACTTTTTTTTGAAGACCCTCCTTTTGAAGCAACCCTCAGTCTACAGTTTATCAACGCTTCTTCACAGTGTCTTATCCTATTCAACACGAGCTGTCGTTTGTCGTAGCGAAAATCGCAACGTACTTGACGTGAGACAGTTTCTGAATTAGAAACCAACAATAAAAGGTATAAGGCTGACTCAGGGCGAATGGAAAGTGATGTTACGTCTGAAACCTTTCATCCGTGCACAAATCAGATCCATGAATGAACGGACAATGAATAAACGAACACTGCCTAAATTTAAAATTACATATTTTGGCTATCAACAATGGGCTTAAAGACGATGAAAAGAAGAAGAAAGTACTCGAAGTTTACTACGCTCATCAATGAAAACCTAAATGCCATAGAATATAGCACTCGAACAGAGTTGTAGCGATATGTACCCGAATAAAAATACTTGAATGTAAATGATAAGAGGAATTGCTTGTCACTCCTTTTGCCACGATAATCGAGACACTGTTAACTCCATCCAATATGGGTTTAAGGTAAAGTGCATGTACGTGTGCGTGTGTGTGTGTGTGTGTGTGTGCGTGTGCGTGTGCGTGTGTGTGTGTGCGTGCGCGCGACTGTGTGTTGTAGTGTGTGTGTGTGTGTGGTGGGGGGGGCGTGTGTTGTGTTGTGGTGTGGTGTGTGGTGTGGTGTGTGGTGTGTGGTGTGGTATTGTTTTGTGTAGTGTAGTGTGTGGTGTGGTGTGGTGTTGTATGTGGGGTGGGGTGGGGTGGGGTGTGTGTGTGGGTGGGGTGTTTGGGGTGTGTGTGGGGGGGTGTGGTGTGGTGTGGTGTGGTGTGGTGTGGTGTGGTGTGGTGTGGTGTGGTGTGTGTGGTGTGGTGTGGTGTGGTGTGGTGTGTGTGGTGTGGTGTGGTGTGGTGTGTGTGTGGTGTGTGTGTGTCGTGGTGTCTGTGTCAAATGGCCTATCAACCAACACATATGAATGATTCACTGTACATAACTATCTTTCAATGATGACAGAACCCACATATGGCAATTCTGTGTTTATTTCCAGATTTACAAAGTGGATAAAGTACAGGGATAGTTACATGGAATAGTCTGATGAGAAAGATTGCAAGTGTCATCGCGCAGGAAGGGATTTTCGTCCTGGAGGTCCATATTTGGCTGGACTCCGTGTGTGTGTAATAGGGTGCGTGTGGGTCGTGCTGGGCGTTCTCTGCCGCCTGTTCTCTGGAAGGACAGCACTACCGGAAGACAGGGCGACTCGTGTCCCTATCGGAACAGAACCTTGTGGACTGTGCACGGAATGGTGGGTACTATGCAGTGCCACTCACGCAATTTACCAAATCTTGTAACGTCTTATAATTTATACACACTCTTTTCTTATATGTCAGTTACCGAAAGTGTTTCATATTAAATCATCCTTTAAAAAACAACAACAGTGTCTTAAAATATAACATCAACGACAGAGCAAAAAACTAGTCTTGATTTGTTGAAACGACCCGTGAAGATCTGGGGTAGAAGCCATATTTGCCGTGAACGGTGACTATGCTTGTCGTAAGAGGCGACTAATGGGATCGGGTGGTCAAGCTCGCTGACTTGGTTGATGCATGTCATCGATCCCAATTGCGTGGATTGATGCTCATGATATCAATCACTGGATTGTCTGGTCCATACTCGATTATTTACAGACCGCCGTCATATAGCTGGAATATTGCTGAGTGTGACGTAACACACAAAAGGTTACCTAGGAAGCACAGGAAAGCAACACATTTGGGACACATGACAACAACCCTTGTGGACCTGCCCCAAAACCTACATTATTTGTTTGTTTTGTTTTGACGTGATTGACGTCATGAGCATCGATCAACGCGATTGGGATACGATGAAATGCACCAACCAACTTGAAGTCAGCAAGCCTAACCACCCGATCCCATTAGTTGCTCGTTACGACAAGCGCAGTCGCCTACATTAACATCATCCTATTGTTTCATTATAAAGGACAAAGTATAATATTTTCCTCCACAACATTCAAAGACTAACAACCATCTATATTAATTAAGGTAATTACGGAAGTGAAGGAGGATCCATGGAGTTGGCATTCGATTACATTCGTCAAAATAAAGGCATAGACACAGAGGAGTCCTACCCGTGCGTAGCCAAGGTGAGAGGCAATTGATAGGATCGGGATAATTGAGCCGAAGGTGAGGAGAGTGAGTTTTGTTTTACGCCGCTTTTAGCAATATTCCATCAATATCACAGCGGGGGACACCAGAAATGGGCTTCACACATTGAAACCATTTGGGGAATCAACCCGGGCCTTCGGCGCGACGCACGAATGCTTTATCCACTAGGCTGGGTCAAGATTTTAACAACTAAATGAACAATTATACGAAATTAAAGATTTAACAATGAACAAATAGTCATCTTCTCCGAGGCAAGGGAGTTAACTGGCTATAAAAGTCCGGTTTTCAGAAACTTTTTCTGTCGGTAAGCTCCCTTGCCTCGGGAAGAGATAAATGGTATGCTTTAGATACGCCGAGTCCCAACGATTAATATTCTGGGAGGCTTTTTAGCTTGTAGCTTTTTTCTGTGACTGCTTTTTTCTCTAAAAGGTCGCTGTCTGGTTGAAATAATGCAGATGCGACATTACATTTTAACTCACTCCCTCACTCACTTTCT